TTATTTTATTTCTTTTAACAATATAGGGATGTTGAATATGTTTATAGCATAATGTGACATAGAAAAATAATTTCTGTCTGAATTCCTGGACTGTGGAATTATTATTTACATTATTTATGTACAAATTATTTTCCTCACTTTTGTTGTTATTATTATGTTTCAGCCATTGTGCCTTCTGGCCTTCATCAGGGGCTTGCTGATCCAGGTAACCATTAGGGAATTTAAAACTGAACCATTTAAATTTCCTGCTTGCCATTAGCATGGTTGATGCTAGATTCCAGGAGAGTGTCTCATTGTGCCTTCTTGACCTCATGACTTAACAGCTACATTGAATCAATAGCTGTGTCTGCTGCAAGTAAAGTTGGCTATGTCATGCGAGGAGGTTTTTCTTGTGAGAGTTCATCTTACATATCTACAAATCTGCCATTCATCCGTGTATTGAGTACTGTTGCCATATCTGGACTGGTGCTCCAGCTGTTCATCTCGAGGTTCTCGACAAAATCCAAAGACAGATCTACAATATAATCAATCATGACTTCACATCTTGACTCCAGCCACGTTCTCACAGATGTGATGTGGCTTCCCCCTGTCTTTTTTACAAATAACAATTGTTCTGACAAGCTATCTTCCATGATGCCCCAACTACATGAATTTAAATGTGCTACTAGATTGGTATCTAGGTCCCACCCTTTTACTATTGAAATAGTTAAATGTAACCACCAATTCTACTCTAACAGCTTCTGTTCTCACACTTCCTGCCTTTGGAACTCCCTTCTGTTTACTTGATTCCCTGATAACTACAATCTTTAAAAATTTAAATGCAACGTCAATCGCCATCATCTGATGTCTTGAACCCCTGTTCATCTTTTATTCCTCATACCCCCCCCCTCTACACACAGTTTTTTCCTCCCACCTTCACTCTTTGAAAGCTCTTGCAAACCAGTGGCACTCCTGCCTTGCTTGGAATGAAATGTTTAAACAAAAAAAAAAAAAAAAAAATCTTTGAAGATAAATTGTTCCCATTCTGCTGTCCATGTCTAGGAATATCATGTCTTGTTTCCTAGGATAATAGCCTAGTGTTGGTTCGTTAATTTGATGACATAGCATTTATGAGTTTGGGCATATGGCCGGGTGGCTAAAATGTTCGCATTCTGACCATGAAACCTGTGTTTGAATCTCACCATGGTCAATTTGGAAGGAGACTTCCTGGTGTTATCGGAATGGAAGGGTCAATTCTAGCATGCGGCACCTTTGGAAAAGGCCTGAAAACCATACCACAAGTTGACCCAAGCCTTATGAGTGAAATTGTGTAAAGGTAACTTTTGGGGACCATCAATAGCTGTGCTAGCACAAAGTCACAAGTCATTGTGGTCAAGGGCTTGAGTATGCTGACCTTGTTCAGATTGTTGATCACGCTAGATAAACAAACTCCCTCCCAGAAACTGTAACTAATGTCTGCTCAGCATAGTTGCAGTATAAACCACAGTTGGGTTCTGTGGGTGCTGAATGAACATAAATGCACATGATCAAGTATCTGCAATATGGATTGGCTAGTCACCCTAGAAGACAGGTATCATTGAATATGAGTGGCTAGCTATATATAATTATGAGTTCAATCGCTGGGCCAGGTAGTGCAGTTTTAAACTCAGTGGAAACAGAATGAGCAATAACTAAGCAGAACTAAATGAGAACAAGGTATTCTTAGACAGTGGAATGGGAACAATCTACCCCTATAAATTAAATAAAGGGTTCAGTTCAAAACTCCCTGAAGGTTATTTAGATTGATAAGCACCTGATGAAGGCTGGAGGGCACAATGGCCGAAACATTGTAACAACAATGAAGATGAGGACGATAGTTTGAGCATAAATAAAGATTAGACAGGTTATGAAATTAATGAACGAGTTGTGTATTAACCTGAGAAGAACCAAGATTTATACAATTCTCTGTTGCAGATTTCATGAGAAAAATAAGTAACAGTAGGTGAAAAGAAGAAGGAAATAGAAACAAATCCAAAGTACTAAAATCAGGATACCAAGTATAGTCTACAGTTCTAAAGTAATACAATATATTCTATAGCAATACTATAGTAAGTTCTATAGTCATACAAAAGAATTATGATAGAATCAATTAAAGAAAAAGAGAAAATCTATTTGCCAAAAAAGAAAATAGAGCAGATTATTTTTACCTTCACCAAGATGAGGCCTACCTTTAAAAATAATACTTTGTGCTGTAAAAAAATAAAAGTGGCTAAAATATATTTAAAAATCAATATAAAGCCATTTTTGAACCACTGAGTGTGTGTGATTCAAATATTTAAGTTATTAAAAAAAAAATGGGAAAATAATAAAATAACCAAAATTAGAGAAAAAAATTCCTTAAAGGTTGCCATATGCAATATTCACTTTAGAATGGTTACAAAACAAACCAAAGAATGACTAAGACAGAAACATCAGTCTGAATAAATCATTAAGTCAGACTTAACAATAATCAATATTTGACTGACAAAACAAGAATTTGTAATAAAAATTTGTTAATATTTAGATGTTTATTATAAAAAAAAAAAATTTATTCAATGGTAAAACTGCTAGTATCCTCAATGAAATGACTGGCCAGAGATTGGCAGACAATAAAAGACAAAAAAAGGAGTTAGGAGGAATGTACCCTGAATTGTTACAGATTAAATTAAGCTTAGTAAATAATCTACACTGAATTACAGATATTTACTAACCTTAGCTGAGTATTACACAAGGTCATAGGCATCGGAAACTCAGTGAGTATCAAGCTTACTAGAATAGTAATGGTCTGTTAGGCTAAATTGCCTTAGCAAAGAGCCTATAATATATAGGTATTTATAAAATTTAGTCCAACATAGAGCTTAAGTTCATCACCACCACCACTACTACTACTACAACAGCAGCAGCAGCAGATGGATATGCAGGTGGTGTAATGTTTATTTGCTCAGGATGAGAAACCAAAAAAGCTGAATTCAAATTTCACTTGAGATATTGTTATATGGTTTAACTAGTAGGGTACTGGGCTTTTCAGCCTTGGTTGGCAAACAAGAGGACAACTCTGAATTCAAAACTGGTTGGTCATGGAGTAAGTAACTTCTTTCCATAAGAATCTACTTTTTAACAATGTTTGGACTGTTGTCCTCATCTTCGTCATATTCATGACGTTTTGACTGATGTACACTCCGGCCTTTTTCAGGTGATATTCATTGGAATTTCAAACCGAAACCTTTATTTTGTCCACCGGGGTATATTGTTCTCGTTCCACATGCCATGCCTTTTCTGGATATCTCAGTTTCAGTTTTTTTCCTTTAGTAACGTAACTCTCCAAGTTTTTGTTCACCTCTGCTGTAGTCAGGTATTGAACTCACAACTCTTTGGGTCAAGTCACTGGATTACTTCAGCCAATGTTTTTAACCACTGGACCATGTGTCCTGAAGAAGGCCAGAGTATACAATGGCCAAAACATTGTGAATATGACAAGATGAGGACAACAGTCCAAACAATGTAAATAGTGTAAATAGTTACTATATATCATCCCAGAAATATAGACAGACCCTGAAGAAGGCCGGGCATACAACGGCCAAAACATCGTGAACATAATAATAAAGATGAAGACAACAATGTGTAATATAGTGTAAATAGTCACAATGTCTCATCTCAGAAATATAGACAAGAACCTACTTGTTACAGAAACCACCTAAGTAGGAATGCCTAGCATGTTGAGAGCCGTGGTCCCATATTTCCCAGTTGAGTCTATGGAACTTGAGTGATTGAGGGAATGTTTAGTACTACAGTAGGCTAATAAGCTTTTTAGCTCCTCTTCATTATCAGACCTATTACCAGTGTAGTCATAGGGTTGCTGTGGAGTAGAGATCCTGACCAGCTCCCACCATGTGTCTCTGTTGAATGCCAATGTGTGAGTCAGCCCATTTTTTTTTCACTCTGCCTCATGTTCTTTTGTCTAAAATGGTGCCTTGTAGGCTGGTAGTGGAAAGATTGTTGGGTCTTATGCTGTGACCATACCATTTCAACTTTTTCTTCATGACAGCGATAAATGAAGATTGTTTCTTGTATGATGGTGTTTTGCACTGTTATTTGTGATGCAGTCTACACACAAGATGCTGAGGATGGTTCTGTAGCATTTCTTTCTAATACTTGAACTCCTCATTGTATCATTGTAGTTCTTCTGTTAACTATTGCATCATGACAAGGCACTTAATCAAAATGTTATATGGATATTTACCAATATCTTTGTTTGGCAGAAGATCCCAAGTAAGGAGCACCCAGTAAGGATCAAATTCATTACAGTAGCAACAGTTTAGTAGACTCACATGACAAGTATTGTTTCCCTGGCAATATATTCAATATTTGAGCATTTCTTTAGCTTTAGTCTGGCACAAGGTTACAAATGTGGAACACTAAGAGAAGATGAATTATAATAGGTTAGTGTGTTAATTATTCTCCCATGATGAGTATAACTTATACTGAAGGAGGCACGGTGGAGTAATGGATAGCGGCTTGGATTGAGGAATCGGAGAGCCGAGTTCGAATTCCAGTCGAATCCATTACATTCACTTACATGCTAACACCCTTGGGAAAGGTGTGAATCCTCTTTCTTCTCCCTCCAGCTATGGGTAAATAGCAGGACAGACTGGGTTCTATAGCCTTGGATGGCATCTGGTCTAGGAGAAGGAAAACTCAAATTCAAAACGAATTCAGTCCGAATTCAAAACGGGTGAATGGAGTCTCTCTGAGCCTTGGTTGGCAATCCATTTAGTGATGGTGTCACGATAAAAAACACCCTTATAGCCCTAGCTACGCATCAAGAATTAAGCTACTTGATAAGATAATGAATTACACCAATCAAAGTATTGGTGAGTTCAATCTCGGCTGAGGCCACAAGATGGGATGATGATGATACTGAATTAGCTGAAACAAAATTAAAAAAAAATAAACCTGCTGAGTTAAGGTAACAAGTGACTTACCTTTGGTGTGTCTTCTTCACAAATTGTGTTTGTGATTGGGCTAGAAGGTTCTGAATTGTTGTGGACAGCATTGTAGTCAGGGCCAGGAACATACAGCACCTTAGAAAGAAAGAAATATAACTTGAAATTTTAACCTTCATATCATTTGGTTTAAATCTAAATCTGCATAACAAAAAATAAAAAATATTTGTAAGTAATCAATATTTATTTATCACTGACACAGGACATTGGTGATCATAGCCTTCCACAATTTCCTGACCTTTGTAACTGTTAGTAAACAAAAAAATGAAACTACTCTCTATTTCAAGAGAACCCTTTTTACCTTTCATCACCATAGCTTATGCTAGCCACTAAGAGAAAGCGATGTGCCTTCTCGGGCTAATGTTTTCTGCTGACATGAAGTGGAGAGATTATATTGAATCAATTGCTAGCTCTGTTGCTAGGAAAGTTCATTGTGTCGTGCAAGATAATTTTTCTCACCTGAATCTATCTTGCATATTTATAAGTCTACCATTCAACCATGTTTAGAATACTGCTGTCATGTGTTGTCTGGTGCTCCTGCTATGTGTTTAGAGATCCTTGATAAAATCCAAAGAAGAATCTGCAATGTCATTGGTTCTGACCTGGCATCTCAGCTTCAGACTCTTTCCCACTGCAGTAATGTAGCTTCCCTGTGCCTTTTTTTATAAATACTTTCATGGTAATTGTTCTGACAATTTTTCCTCTATGGTACCTAGATGTCATGAATTACTAGGTTGACAACAAGGCCTCATCAGTTTACAGTTGAATTTGCTATATGTAACTGTATGTTCTATGCTAAAAGTTTTTTTTTGACACTTCTCACCTGTGAAACTCTCTTCCTGTTTCATGCCTTCCAGCCAACTTTGATCTTCAAAAATTTACATTCAATGTTAATCATTATCTATTGTTTTCTTGATTCTTGCTCTTTAATAATGTTTTTCTTATTCTTTCACACTCAGTAACCCCTTGTTTATTAGCGACTTTACTGCTTTACTTGAGGTGAAATAATTAAAAAAAAGTGTTTGCAGATTGACAAATACACAGGGCAAGTTGGTGATAAAAAGCAATGAAAGTATTTCAACGACTGTGTGTCATATTTTTTAGAGGGGATGCAAATAAGTAAAGAAGCAAATCAGAAATGTTTGTTTTCTTTTACAACTTGCATTCATTCTTTTGTTAAAAACAGAAATGATTTCTTCTTTCTGACAATCTGCCTTGCTGGAATAAGAATAATAATTACCCTATTTAACTAACAAACCATCCACACACACACACACATATATATATATATATATAAGAGTAGAGACTGAAATCAACAGCCTGTTTCATGCTTGAATGCATACCCTGTAAAATATCACCGTGAAAAATGCAAATATAGGCACAATATACAATGTATTTGGATCAAATATAGATTGGAATCCAACGATAAGAAACAAATAGGAAATGTTTATAAATCTAACGTTTTGTCTTTATTAAAGTTTCATGAGGCTTTAGTAAATGTGAAATTAGATTTATAAATGTTTTCTATTTGTTCCTTATCCTATCACTAAACACATTGCAGATAATGTCATATATTTTAGACAAAGCCAATACTTTAAACTGAGCAGACAAATAAGATTCAGCACATGTAGCCTGAAGCTTGAGTTCAAGTAGGAAACAGACTATCACCACTCAGTGTTAACATCAGTGTCCACTTTTATATCTACACACATCCTATCTGTGGTATTCAGCACACTTACCTATATATATAAAATACCTTTAAACTATACATATATTTCAAACACAGGTGTCCGCTAAAAATAACATTTGAAGTAATAGAATGTCAGATTAAAAATAAATCCATAAATTCTTTAGTAGTTGCTTTGTTTACATTTCTAATATGAAACTGAGCAGATATGAGCTCTAAACAAAATCTGAACAAGGATGGATAGATCCTTGCTAGGTTGTGATGCTTTCTACGGCTGAACAGTCTAAACCATGCCAGATCAAATAGTGGTTTCCCCTACAAAGGGGGATGCAAGTTCGAGCTCTGCTGGGGGAGAAAATTTTCTTTAAGTTTTGTTGAGTGTCCAACTCAACAAAGCTTAATAAAGAAGACTTTCTCCAATATATGCAATACACACTGTTTAAAATAAAATAAAAAAAAACAGGCCATGTATTTCAAACATGGGTATCCACTAAAAATAATGTTTGATGTGAGTGTGTGTATATGTAGATAAATGCATGTACACAAACACATGAAAATATATAGGGAGCGATGGATAAATTGTCATCTAAATTATGCAAAAATGAAAATAATACTGACATCTCATTTTAACAGATATATTTACCAAAATTACACAAAAATATCTTGAAATACTAAAGAGTAAATTTATTCAATAAAATCACTATTGGCATCAACCACAGCCTCCAAATGACTTCAGAATCTCCTGCAACTCTTCTGGGTGGTCTCCTTGTTTAAGTTGGTGAATGTTGCCATAATACTTGCCTTCAGTTCATCTTTGGTATTACAAGGAGTTTTGCACTCAACTGTGCCCCACACATAATCAAGGGGGTTGCAGTCTAAGGAGTTAGGTAGCCAGATATAAGGGGTGATGTGGTTGCAGAAATTGTCAGACAGCCATAACTGAAATCTCTTGCTTGTGTGATATTGTGTATAGTCCTGTTGCATTTTTGCAAGACATAGGGTCTTCCAGTGGCCACTCTGACCCAAGGCCTCCATGATCAGTCTGAGGCACTGTAGGAAGATAAATGGTGGCATAATGTCGCTATGACTAGTGATCACTCCAAACACTTTCAGAATCACCACTAGACTCATCCAGTTCTTTCTTAATCCTCTGCACTGTCCTCAGATTGACACCCAAACTCTGAAATGTTCATATTGTAGCTTCCTGCATGAATGCCAAGCAGTATTGTTTCCAAATTTCTAGCAGAGTGAATTGCATCATGATGCTCTTTTTTTCACAGACAGTGTCCAAATGACTAGTGCAATCAACAAAATCAAAAACAATATGCATGCACGAAATTTAAAATATAAAATGTTGGCAATTTACCCATCACACCCTATTTTTATATATATATATATATATACACACACACACAATGCACAGAGGTATGTCAGTAGCTTAATGATAAAAGAAAAATTATTTTACACAACAAATATTTATTTTTCAATAATCTCCTTTGCTAGCAGGAAAAAAGGCACTTGATTCAGTGATGAATATTTAACATAAATTGAACATTATGCAGATTTTGTGTAATGAAATTTTCAGACTAAAATTCAGCTAATAATTATATGCTAGACCAGTTTTTTCATTTTTCTTACTTCAGGACACATTTATAGAATAACTAAATCTCTGGGGCACACTTTAAATTATTGTAAGGAAAAATTAGTCATGAAATTTGAAATTGGCATCCAGTTTAAAAACAAATCTTGAGTCCTGTAACTCATTAGAGACATAGTGGCACTCATGTACTGCAGCCACAGTAGAAGTGGTGTGTTGGGCAAGATAGCCTGATAGATCACAATCATCTCCAGTCTAGTTTGAATTCAGAGCTTTCCTTTACCTAGACTGGTTGACAGCCAAGGCTATAGAACCTAGTCTGTCCTGCTATTTACCCATAACTGGGGAGAAGAAATGGATTCATACATTTCCCAAGGGTATTAAGCACATAAGTTAATGTAATGAACTGAACTGGAATTTGAACTTGGTTCTCTGATTCCTCAATCCAAGCCACAATCCATTGCTCCAATGTGTCTCCCCAGTTTAAAATATCCAATAACAAAAACTTGACTAAGACAAGAAAGCCATTTGCTTGGTGTCTCTAAATTTTTAAAAATAAAAAAAAATTTAAATATAAAAGTAATTCATAAATCACTGTGAACTTGAAGCGCCACACCTAGTTACCATTCAGGATGCATTAATGCACCTGCATTCACCAGTTTAGAAACAACAAACTGTATTATTAAGTACATACTACTCTGAGTTTTATATGTTGCACAATCATTAGTCATACATGTGTGTTCCGCCTGATGATTGTGTGACACATGAAACTCAGACTAGTGAGTACTTGATAAACATAATTTGGTGTATATATTATTATTATTATTATTATTATTATATTAAGGCTGCCTCAGTTGGCATTGGGACCTCAATTTATTCTATATTTTAAGCTTTACAGCTTATTTTAATTTTTTATTACAGTTAAAAATAGATACTCACAGGACAGATTGAAGGACAGAGGAAAACAACACATGACCCTCCCTCCCACTAGTGAGCTTGGATAAATGGATGGTGGGATGAGGTTTAAGAGAGATAACAAAAAGACTAAATTTGTTAAGAGTGACAAAGGAAAGGAAATTGTGGAGAGCATGATCACCTATGTCCTAAAGTATATATATATATATATATATATATATATATATATATATATATATAAAAAACAAGATGGACCAATAAGTTCATAACCTTGTACAGTTATTAGCTGAAATTTTAATGTATAATTTTTTAAACTAAATGGTTATGCATTGCCAAAGGAGAAAATTATATTGAAAAATAAATATTTCTTGTCTAAAATAAATGTTTTTTTGTTTACCATTAGGCTACAAACTTACTGATGTACAGTAATACATATTGTCACATATATGCAAAATGTATAAACACACACATGCATACATATATATGTATATGCATGTAAATATATATATGTAAATACTAAACAAATTGTCAAGCCAAATTTATTAGTGATTGGACTGATTGTGATGTATTGATCTATTCTGTTAATTATTGGTCCATTGTCAAGCAATCGATTACTAGTTCTGTCCGATGGTGAAAAAGCATGATAAAAAGAAGAAAAAATGCTAAAATAGTGTTCTGTGGTCAGGAAACAGTCATTTGGTTTTGTCCGACTGAAATAGCTGGCACTTGGACAAAGGTGTTCATTAGTTTAGTTTCACTTTATTGAAGAGGTTGTCATCAAGTTCATAAGAGAGTTATCAAACATTCAATGATGCCATAATATAATTGCACAATCTAAAATACTGTGCAATGTTTTATTCTTGTTATTGTGTTTTGCTA